AGAGCAAAGTAGAAGGCATCACACTACCTATTTTCCAAGCATAATACAAAGCTCTAGCAACCAAAATAGCATGGTATTGGAATAAAAATAGATGTGTAGACCAAGAGAATAGAACAGGGAGCCTAGAAGTAGGCTATGACCCATCATCTACAGCCCACTGATTTTCAATAAAGGTGTTTAAGAATACACATTGAAGAAAAGATACTCTTTTCAATAAATGGCAAGGAAAATTTGATATTCATATGTGGAAGAATGAACTCAGACTCCATCTCTCACCAGTTACAAAAAAACAATTAAAGTAAATTAAAAATTTAAATGTAACCTATGAGGATTCTGAAAGAAGACATAGGGAAATACTTCAGGAGTTTAGAATGGGTAATGAGTTACTGGTAAAGGTCCCAAAGACAAGGAATCAAAAGCAAAAGTAGAAAAATGGGGTTATATCAAGTTAAAAAGTTCCTGCACAGCAGAGGAAACAATCATCAGAGTAAGGAGACAACTTACAGATGGGAGAAAATCTACACATTTGACCAGGAATTTATATCCAGAATATATAAAGAACACCAAAGACTCAACAGCAAGACAGCAAGCAATAGCAAAAACAAATAACCCAATTTTTTAAATGGGCAATAGAACAAAATAGATGTTTCTCAAAAGAAGACATAAAGTAGCTAGAAGGTACATGTGGGAAGCCATTTCTGACACATGATTGGATGGCTCCGTTAAGGGTCTGAGGCGCTCTGGCTGTGTCGGAGCTTTCCCGGCCCTTTCCTGATGACAGAGCCCATCCGTGTGGGGGTGTGCCTGACCACTGACCCCGGGGACCCAATCACTGACCCTGACCTTGGAGTGCAGCCCCCCTTCATTGGATGGAATTCTCCCCTGAATCTCTTGTTCCCCAATAAAAGGCTACTCCCAGGCGTGTTCACTCTCTCTCTCTCCTGCTAGCCCTGAGTAATCCTTGCTGCCCTGCTGGGCGGTTAGAGGTAGGAACCAGAGAGGTGAGCTGTCTCTGACCTAGCAATAGAAATAAGGTGTGTGTGTTTTATTTCCATCTCTTCTAACTAACTTTATGCCTAGAACCTCATTAATGAAACCATTGCGCAGGCCGCATGGTGGAGGTACATGAAAAAATGCTCAACATCATTAATCATCAGGGAAATGCAAATCAAAACCACAATATCTATCACTTTACCCTATTAAGAGTGACTATTATCAAAAAGATGAAAGCTAAGAATTTCTGGTGAGGTGGTAGAGAAAAAAAGTACCTTTGTATACTGATGGTGGGAATGTAGTATAGTCATCATGCAAAATGGTATGGAGGTTCTGGAAGGGATTAAAAATAGAACTACTGCATGAAACAAGAATCTCACTTGTGGGTATATTTCCAAAGAAATTGAAATCAGTGTGTCAAAGAGACATCTGTACTATTATCATGTTTATTGCAGCACTGTTCATACTGACCAAGATATGGAATCAACTTAAATTTCCACCAACTGATGAATGATAAGGAAAATGTGGTACATACATACCATGGAATACTATTCAGCCATAAAAAGAATGCAATCCTGTCATTTGTGGCAACATGGATGTACTGGAGATCATTATGTTAAATGAAGTAATCCAGGCTTAGAAAGACAAGTTCTGAATGATCTCACTCATGTGAAATCTAAAACAGTGGCTCTCATAGAGGTTGAAAGTAGAATGGTAGTTACCAGAGGTTTGGGAGAGTAGAATAGGAGAGAAATGGGGGAAATATTGATCAATAGGAACTGAATAGATGGGAACAAGAAGTTCTGGTGTGTTACATTACACAGTCGGGTGATCATAGATAACAATAATGTACTGTACGTTTTGAAAAGTGAGAAGAAAGGATTTTTGAAAGTTTTCACCATATAGAAGTGAGAATTTTTCTGGGAGATAAATATTTTAACCTGATTTAAATATTATAAAATGAATAAACACATTTATGGAGCCCCATAAATATGCACAATTTTATGTTTTTATTTATTAGTTAAAATAAAATTTTTAAAAAATTAAAAATGCATTGTATCTGTATGGTTGGAATCTTTTCTGTGAGTCAACTGAGGTGATGATAGTGGATCCTGTATCAGTTAGGGGTTGGCAGCAAGGAATAGCTCCAAATAATGGGGGCTTAAGGAAGACAATAGATTTTCTCAGATGAAAAAAGGAACTTCAAGGTTGATATGGTGGCTTTGAAATTGCTGAGGAACCCTGGACTTTGACTCTTGCTACTCTACCAGCCTTCATCTGTGGCTCTCATATAATGGTAATTGTCAGAAAAACAAAAAGAGGCTGTTTCTGAATTTGGAGGTCGGTTTGGAGAATTAGAGCAGCAATGACTGTTTTTTAATGTAAAATTCTTAGTGTATTTTCATTTTTTACTAGATACCCTTTATTTTTTTGATTAAAAGTAGCACAAAGGACAAGAGAAATAATGAAGGGTAATAATGATTACATATTTCTTCAGTCTGAAGTTTCCCTTCTCAGAGAAATCATGTTGACAATCCCAGTAAAATGCTGCGACCATTCTTTCTGAGAATCTTTTGTTCGTTTTTAAAAATTTTATTTTCTTCAATATTTGATTTGGATCATTGGTGCTTCCTTTATGTGTTAATTGCCATCCCCCCTAACTAGAATATAAGTTCCATAAGGAAAAGCACATTTTAAAAATTGTTCACTCCTGTGTCTCTAAGACCCATAACAGTGCTCAGAGCATAGCAGATATTTGATAAGTATTTATTGAATATACTACCAAATACATATGTAGAAACTATTAGAATCTGAGAGAGGTAAATAAGAACTCGATGACAGGAAATCAGTCATTAGAAAACTCATAGTTCACATTGGTATCAATGAGAGATGACAGGTTTCACAAGGTTTATTGAGGTATTTTTTACAAAATGTTTTCAATCACTGAAATAACTTTTGGGAAATGATCCACACTACATATAACATAGGGGCTGCATAAAATATTTGTATGTAAAAAGTTCTGATGAGAACTTAAATAAACAAGTAACCTTGTTACACCCAGCATGGACATGAAATTATTTCATGTCATAATAATGCATGGAGAACACTTTCAGAAATGCTACTCAATGTGTTACTTAAAGATAATATATGCCAAACTATAAATAGGTTTTGAGGAATTCAAAGAAGTATGAATGGTACAGATTCAAATGTAATGAGACACTGATCATGGCTTTTTTTTTTATCTGCACATGTGAAAAAGTAAGAGGTATGAATTTGCCCTCCTATTTCTCTCTCTGGCCACACTTTTTTGTGATTGAAAAAAAGAATGTCAGGCTGGAATTGGAGAGCTGTGTGTACAAAATGATTTGTCTCCCTCCCATATCCAGAGGGCTATGCTGTAGCTACTGACTACACTTGAAAGAGACGTTCAGAATAGTATATTGTATGTATTAAACTCAATGTAACTTTTATCCTTTCACTGCTAATTCACTCAAGTTGGAGCACTTCAAGTAGAATTGAGGCTTTTCATGTCTTTTTAAAACATGAGAAATTCTAAAACTTAATTGGAAACATTTAACCATTCTGGTAAACTTTGTACTTCCCCCTAACACTCACAAAACCTTTATCCTAATCCTATGTTTATTCCCAAAGATTATCAAGAAAGTGAATGTGTTTTAAAATTATACATCTCTTTCATCTTAATTTTCTTAGCATATGGTATTTTTTTTGTAGAAATTGAAATTGGCAATTACCTTCTAAACCCTGCCACAGCCTTATTATATTATACTAATCATAATTGCAATCATTGTGGTACTACATTTCACAGATACCTATTTTATGGATCATAATTATAGTATTAAATACTTATTAAGTATTGCTTAAGGATTCTTTTTGTTACTTTTGGAAAATCAGGATTTGTTTCTCTATTTGACAGTTTAGGAAATAAAAATCTCTAATGATTCCAGTTAAATTTGGCTTATTAAAAAAAAAACCAAAAGGACTTTAACCAATAACATCAAACCTGTTCTTCAAGGCTGTCATATTTAGGTTTTATTAGCTAATTTACACAGCAGCTAAACATAGTCCAGATAGCAAGGGTTTCTTGTTTACGTTTTTCCTATGGGTGATTCCACACACATAGAATTTACTGGTGAATTTTTAGGCTTTAACATCAAAACCTTATGTACAAGGAAAAACAGTTTTGTTCTTCAGTTATAGTTCATCTTAGATTGACCTTGAATCAAATCCCTGACTTCTTCAGTTTTGCAAGAAAATTTCTCCATCTGACAAATAGACACACACACACACACACACACACACACACACACACACTTCTTCTTCTTCTTCTTCTTCTTCTTTTTTTTTTTTTAAAGAGACAGGGTCATGCTGTGTTATTTAGGCTGGCCCTGAACTTGTATCTCCTGTCTCAACCTCTCAAGCAGCCAGGACTACAGGTATACTCACGCTATAGTATGAACCATCTTGCCTGGTCAATCAATGTATGTATATTGAATCATTTCAAATCCCCTTTTTTTTGTTGGTCAAAACTGTCCCACTATCAGCAATTTAATATGCTTCAACCTAATAGAGGTAGAATCTAAGAACCATCATAGTCAAATTGGTCCCTAGGGCAAACTTGTCTCACTTGTCAGCTCTTAGTGGTATCCCTTCAGGTAGCATGTATTACAATTTCAGCAAGAAAGAAAAGATAGATTGGACATGTTATGGTGTAAAATGTTAGTTGATTTTCCAGGTTTAGTAAAATATGAGGAAAGCAATGTATTCAATTGGTAGATAGGATGAAAATGGAAATAATGAAGCTAACTAAAAGATCTTGAATTGATAAACACTGTCTCTTGACAATTGTGTTGAAATATCTCAAGTCAAATAACTTAAGGAAGAACCTCAAAGAAAAACTTTCCAAGTCCTATCTTGTCTTTCTTTGGGCATGAGTATTTTAAAATCTGATTTTGATATATGGCTTACATTCTGTTAATTTCTAACAGGTGGCAGAAAAAGTGCTGTGTGAATTCCTCCCAATGTACCCGAAGTGCTGATGTTTCTGCACATGGTCTTGATACTGGGTTCCACAAAATATGAATGGGCTGTCATGTTATTTTGGATCAACTCAAGCAGAAGAGCATCTCAAAACATCAACATTTTGGTGAGCTTTTCTTAATTTTGGTCACAGAAGCAAATGTTTCATGATCCTTCAATGAATTACTATATAACTTTTTGACTCTACGAAAACTTCCAGCCCCACAAACATGTCTGGTTTTGTGGGGTGAAAGGATAGTCTTCCTTAATGTTGAAAAGAGCCTGGTTTTATGGTCTCAGTTCTGGGAACAGTGAAAAGAGCAGATTCACCTGGAAAGAGATTTTAGCAAGGCTGTTAATATGGCAAATTGTTTTTTTTTTGAAAGATGAATGCAATAATATCTTCTCACCCAAGGTTCTTCTACAACTGTACCACTCCACTATCAAGAGGTTGCATGTATAACACTTCTCTGCTGAAACTGGATAGGTCTTTATGATGGCCTCAATCAAAAGCATAGAGCCAATAGGTGAATGTGAGACTGTGTCTTCTAAGGATGGGGTATTAAAAATGTCATGCACTTTCTTTATGGGATGCTCACTCTTGGAATCCAGGCATCAGGTAGTGAAGAAATTCAAGAAGCCCATGGAGACACTCACAAGGAGAGGATCATGGGCCACAGTCCTGGCATAGCTCTAGCCATTAATCAGCATCAGCGTGCTGGTATGTGAATGAACCACTGTGCTAGCGGGCCTTCTCATCTCAGGTGAGCTGCTGCAGCTGCTGCCATGAGGAGCAGCAAAGAGCTGTCCCTCTGGAAGTCCTGACCAAATTACATATTTCTCAGCAAAATGCGTGCTTATCATTGCTTTAGTCTGTTGTATTTTGGAGTGATTTGTTGCTCATCAATAGACAATCTAAACAGGTAGTTTTAGTAAGGTCTTAACTGAGTCATAGACATCAGTATAAAAAGAGCCAACTTGGTGTCCTTCTCAATATATTTTATTTGTCACTTTCTTTACTAATCTAAGTCATCTCAATTCCCATTGCCTTTTCTTATATCATCTACTTATTTTTCATTGTTTTGATTACTCTTCCCTAAATCCCCTCTCAGGTTTTAAGACCCCCAAGCTAGACACATTATGTTAATAAAGGCTTGATTAAAGCTGAGAGTAATTAGAGGATTAAGTATAATTCCTACATTCTATTATCTTATTTATAGAACTTGATGGCACGCTCTAAATTTTAACAGCAAGTGCTGAATTTAGGACTTAAACTGACATTCCTTCTGACTTCAACACACTTTAACACACTTTTTTCTTTAGATAGACTTTGTAATTATTCAGACAGAGTTACAACAAGCCAGTCTCTCTTATTTCAACTCTTCACCTTTAACATATTTGTTATGAATTAAAAATATAATAACTTGTATACACAATTGACTGGCTGTCTTCAGTACCATCCCCTGCTCTAGGAAAGCTACCATCTTAAATTTGTTGCTCATCATTGCCATACATTTTTTTTACACTAGGAAACATGTAAATATCAATAAATGATCAATAATTGGCTTTGTTTTAAACTTTGTATAAGTGGAATTCTTACGTATCTTTCTGTACCTTATTGTTACTTGAATTTACCTATTTTGGCCCTCATAGGGTATTTTGTTATATGACTAAAACCATAGTCAATCAAATCTACTATTCATAGGTACTTAGGGATTTCCCGGATTTTTGCTGTTACAAATCATCCTGCAGTGCATGTCTTTTTGTGCACATGTGAAGAAGTTTCCCCCAGGCCTGTACCTAGAAGATGAATTCTGGAGTTAAGGATAGACACTGCTTTGACTTGAATAGACATTACCAAATTGCTCATCAATATAGTTTTGTCAATTTGGTTTACATCATCAGTATTCAAAGTTCTTATTTTTTTTCACACCCTGACCCAAATATGAGGTTATCAGACTTTCTAACTTTTGCCAATTGAATGAGTGTTAAGTGAGATTTAATGTTTTTGCATTCTTCTGATTACTGATCTTTAATATTGTATTGTTGGCATTTTTTATTGTCTCTTTCTATTATCAATTTTTATCTTTTTCTTATTCCTTTGTAGGATTTATACACATTTTGCCTGTTCACTTTTTGTTAACGTTTTTCCTAGCCTGTGCATCTTGCATTTTAACTCTGTATGATGTCTTTTACTGAACAGAAGTTTTAAACATTTAATATCAAATTTATTAACATTTCCATTATGGTTTGTAGGTTTTTCTCTTCTTCCAAGTAGATCTTACATAGAATCTACATCTTCTCTATTTTTTCTAAATGTTAAACATTTACTTTTTACATTTGGGTCTTTCATTTCTTCCCCAATTTATTTTTGATATGGTGTGAGATGGGAATCTATCTTTTTCTACATGAATAACTTACTGATCTTGATCATGCTTTCTGAATGATTAATCCTTTTCCTCTGACTTGTAAAACCCCCTTATATACATGCAAAATTTCTATACATGTGTATTCTGATTTCTAGTCTCTATCTTCTGTTTCCCCATTCTATTTGTGTAGCCTTATGTTCAAATCATGCTTGTCTTGATTAATTTGATTAGCTCTACTCTCAGTTTTAATTTCTGTCAGAATAAGTCTCAATACCTAATTTTTCAAAATTGTTTTAGAGGTTCTTGGTTCTTTACTTTTTCCTGTGAATTTTAGGATCAACTTGTCAAATTCCACAAAAGCACTCTTTGGGGTTTTGATGGAGTTAATTCATGGTAGAAGTAGAGTCTTTTGTTTGTTTGAAAGCCATCATTTTAATGATAACCTCTTCACCTGTGTGGACTGCCCGCCCCCCATCCCAAATTCCTTTTCTGTGACAAGCCAGTACTTTACACACCCAAACCCAAATCCCAGACCAGAGTTATAACTCTTTTACTTTTTCCAACTTCACTGGTGACTTTATAATTGGATCCTTCTATTCATAGCCATATGAATCTCCATTTATTAGGGTCGAGTTTTTTTGTCCTTTTATAAGATTGTGTGCTTTTCTCCATAAATACAGTTGGTCCTCATTATTCAGAGCTACTGTACTTGTGAATTTGCCTACTTCCTAAAATTTATTTGCAACTTGCCTGTCAATACTCACTGAGCTTGGACATGAACACAGTGATGAAAATTTGAGTGTCCAATAGGCGTGAGCATTCTCAGCTGAGTTGGAATAAAGTGGTGCTCTGCTTTCTCATTTTAGCTCTCACACTGCAAACATAAATGTTCTTTTTGTGGTTCATTTAGTGTCATTTAAAAAAATATTTTTATGCCTTTTTGTTAATGATTTTTCTTTTTTAAAATGGCTCCTGAAGAAAGTGTTGAGGTCATGCCTAAGGTTCCTAAGTACAAGAAAGCTGTGATGTGCCTTATGGAAAAATTACATGTGTTAGATAAAACTTCTTTAGGCATGAATTACAGTACTAACGACTGTGAGTTCAGTGGTAAGGAGTTAATAATAAATATGAAGTAAGTTGGTCTTTAAACAGTAACACACATAAGATGAGATTATGTGTTGATTGATTGATGAAAATATTGTAGTGAGAGGCTCACAGGAACCTAACAATGTGTTTCCGCTAAGAGCAATAGTTTTAGTATTTGCTGTTTTGGTGTTTGTGGCAACTTCACTGAACATAATTGCCACGAATGAGAATTGACTGAATCCTGAATATTCATTATTAGACCCATTTCAAGGTGACTGTAGTTATACAATTGTGAATAGTATCTGTTTTTATACTGTATTTTCCAACTTGTTTTTACTGGTGTGCATGTAGGGCCCTACTCCTTCTGAAGCTGAAGGGGATCTTTCTTTTCCTCTTTCTTGCTTCTGGTGATGATAGCAATTTGGAACTCTTTGGCTTGCCTTGTCACATGGTACACTCTTTGTTCAGATTTCTCTCTTCTTATAAGGGCACAGTCATATCATGTGTGAGAATACCCTAAAATGCCCCTATGATAGTTAATTTTAGGTGTCAAATTATTGGGATTAAGTAATACCTAGAGAACTGGTAAAGCACCGTAGCTGTATCTGTGAGGGTTTTTCCATAGCATACTAGCATGTGAGTTGGTGGACTGAGACCTAGACCTAGACCTGCCCTCAGTGTGTAAAAGTACCATCCATTTGGCTGGGAGCTTAGATAGAACAAAATGGCAAAGAAAAGTCAAATTCTCTCTCTCTCTCTCTCTCTCTCTCTCTCTCTCTCTCTCTCTCTCCTGGAGCTGGAATATCCATCTTCTCTTGCCCTTGGACATTAGAACTCCAGGTTCTCTGGCTTTTAGCTTCTGAGACTTATACCAACAGCCCTCCAGGTTCTCACAGCTTGGACCTTAGGCTCTCCTCATTGTGAGGTTTTAAACTGGGATGGAGCCCTCTACCAGTATCCCAGGGTCTCCAACTTGAAGTTGGCCTATCATGGGAATGCTCAGCCTCCAAAATGGCATGAACTAAGTCCTTTAAAAAATCCCTCCTCCTCCTCCTCCTCCTCTTCCTCCTCCTCCTCCTCCTCCTCCTCCTCCTTCTTCTTCTTCTCTCTCTCTCTCTTATTGATTCTCTCTCTGAGGAACCCTGAATATACACCTTATTTTTATTAAAAAATAGCTCTTAGCCTGCAAAGATCTAGTTTTCAATAAGCTCATATCTACAGGTACTGATGGTTAGAGTTTCAGCACATCTTTTGGGAGGAATAAAATTCAATCTATAATGATTAGTTAACTAAACTTTCTGTATATCAGTTTTCTTTGTGAATGATTACTGTAATACTCTCAAGGGGCTATTGCATTAGATTACTGAAAACTATTAGGTAATATATGGAAAATACCCTGACCTGTGCCTGACTCACAGTAAGAATTCAATATACTGTCTAGTTAAATCACTTTAATCTAGCAACTTTGCTGAACTTCTCATTTGTTTCAACTGTTTGTCTGTAGATTCTCTTAAAAACATTAGGTAGATAATCACATTGGATGAAATATGCAATTTTGTATTTTCTAATTTTTATAAATTTTACTTCTTTTTCTTACCTTTTTATTCTAAGACTTCCAGTATAATACTGAATTAAAACAGTAGTACTAGCATAGGGGATGCATTGTTTTTTTTTTCACTTAAATTGAAATTAATGTATAATTTTGTCATTAAATATGATGATTGCTATAGACCTGTGGTAGTATTTCTCAGGTTAAGAAAGTCTATTTTTAAGATAATTTTGAAAAGTTTTTTTAGTTAAATATTGAATATTATTTTTCTGCATCTGTGAAGAAAATTATATTTTTTCCCCCTAATATCAAGCCCCAAGAGATAAAAACGGAGCAGCAAATGGAATTTCAGGCTGTGGGTCAAGAGCTGAGTGGGAACAAGTTGGGAACCCAATTAGGCTGGGAACAGAGCAGAAAACACAGAAAAGCATTGAAATGGCTGTGTGTTTTTATTGTTTTGCAAGTGAGAAAAACATGGAGGTGGAGGACTAGCTGCAAGTTGTTAATCAGCATAATAACAATATGATCAAACATAGTTAACATTAACAGTACCAGTAACATCCTCTACTCAACACTTCAAAAACAACAGAAATTTGAGGGCGTGCATTTCATTTTATAGTTTACAAGGTAATCATTTCATGATCTCGAATGAAGGACCAGCAATAACACTGAAATAGTGACGGGACCAATATCCATGACACTTTGACCCTATACATGGTAAAATTCCAACTTCATCATTCACTAGAAATTATCCTAAATAACTTGTTGAAATTCAGTTTGTGATGTATAAATTCTCCTGTGAACCACTTGTCCTTATTTGCTCAGACCTTCCTCTGAGTCTGTGAATGTTTTCTTTCCCCCTTTTCCCCTTATGATCAAATCATTTTTATTATTTGAAAGTTTATAGCACTGGAATGGATCAACTTTTTGAGATATGGATATGGCAAAAATCTGGACCAAATCCATAGAAAACATTCTGAACCATGTTTATAATGAATGTTTGGACAGGCTTGGGCTGATCTCTCTCTGGATGACAACTCAGTCCTGGCCTGGACTTTAGCACTCATCTTTTGATTATACCACCTATGAGTAATCACTTGTTGTTTACACCTTGAGGGTTGTTTCTTGACTTCAAATCTTTGGAGTGCTAAAAGAAAAGGGAAAGCAAGAAGGTTATAGTAAACTGGATTCACCTTAGAGTTTCTCCGAAGTGAGAAAAACTCTGATTTTTAAACTTCTTTACTTCTGAGCTATTAGTCTAAGTTGTTGGCAGTAGAATGATTCATGATTGAAGACTGTAAGTGCAAAAATCAAGAGGTAATTTGGGCATGTATATAGCCTGGTTTGGGACTTACTTCAATAAATCCCAATGAAAAAGGAATATTTCTACCTGCTCAATTACTTGTTTTTCAAGTTCTTAAATGACTACAAAGAGTAAGTGCTCGGTAAAAGCTGTAAGTGATGATGAAACTTTATTCCCTCTCTCCTTCCCTTCCTTCTTCCTTCTTCTCTTCCACCAAAAACACATTTCTTGAGTGTTCGTTGTATATTTCAGAAACAAATAATGAGCACAAAGTACTTAGTACAGTTTCTTGTACGTAGTAAGTGCTCAGTAAGTGATTGCTTTCAATATGAGATGAGCCAGGTTGTAGTGTTATTTGTTATTACATGCAGTGAGCACCTTACTAAAAAGAGACTTAATCTTCATGGTCAGAAGTTGATGCTCATGAGAACAAAGTTCATTGGTTAGAAAAATGACAACAATATCAACAACAAATGAAGGCTAACTCCAATTTCTCCTGACATTTCTATAGGAGCAGTAAAACAAAATCTGTCTGAAAGATTTGATTCAAATGTTGGGCTAATGTTGAAATGTGGCAATAGACAATTTGAAGACCTGTATAAAAGGTTAATGGGTTATTATTTAAATAACATATGTAAAGAATTTTTTCCATTTTTGAAGACGGCTTTTTCTAAGTTCACGCACAAATTTCTTTTTATAACGGATAAGCTGCCTTTCTCAGCTGCATACTGTCATTCCTAAACAATCCTAGAGCTAAAAATTTTAAGTGCTGTCACCCAAAATTGCTAAACAGAACTTACTCTTTAATTTGTCTGTCACTCTTTCTGTCACTTCCCTTGCATTTTATGGTGAGGCGTTGGTTCAACTGTCACATCTTGAGTCCCTTTAAAATAAAAAGAGAAGTCCCCATTTTACTCTCATGATGCCCAGAGAGGTCACCTAAAGCTGTCCAGGGCTATTTGACCAAAACTTTGGGGTAAATTTTGCTGACAAAGTGCAAGTTGAGTAGTGTGTGTGTCCGTTTTCTGTCATGTAACAAAGTATCTCAGATAATTATAAGAAGGAAAGCTTCTTTTGACTCACAGTTTTGGAGAATCCAGTCCATTATTAACCAGCTCTTGCTTTGGGCCTATGGAAAGATAGAGTATCATGGCAGGAATGAATGATGGAGCAAAACCACTCCTCTCCTGACCAGGAACAAAGAGAGAAAGAAAAGTGGTCAGTGTCACATAATTCTCTTTAAGTTATCTCCCAAGTGACCTAAGGGCCTTCCACAAAACCCAACCTCCTGAAAGCTACATCATCTCCCAATAGGGTCAACTTGGGGACCAAGTCTTTAATTCGTACACCTTCAGGAGGCATTTATCCAAAGCATAGCAAGGAATAAATTCTTTCTATTTCCAATAAGAATGGTTAATAAGGGTCAAAGACTGGAAAATTGAGAAGCAAAGGATAAAGATAGACTTAAAAACTGGTCGTCTTTACTCTTCATTATAACAATAAGCAAATGACTTGTGTGGCACCACACTTGGCAAAGCCTTCCAAGATAGGTAAGAAGCTACATTTGGATTTTGTAACACAAGATGTAAAGGACCTGTGCAAACAAATGGGTAAAATACACCAACAAAAGGTAAATCTATTTGACTTGCTTTTACCTATCAGGTATAACCAACTGTGGGGGGCAGGAGCCATTTGGGAAATACTTTACTCTGGTCATCAATCTTTTTTTTTTTTTTTAAATTCCCTGAACATGAAATCTTTGGGAGCAGCATCATGTTGATTTAGGTATGGAAATTTTGTTTGGACTTCACATTTCAGTTGGATTCTCAGTTACTTTACGGGCAGCTAAAGGATGCTACTTGTTCCAGAGGGACAGAAAGAAGATGCAGTATAAGTGTCCAATGGCACACTCTTAAGAGTTTGTAATAGGACCCCACAAAGAGTCAAAAGAACAAATTTCAGTTTAATCTCTGCACTCCTGCCCCAGATTCTTTCATATTATTGTAGGAAATCCTTGGGTGGAGGTAGACATAATGGAAAAAAAAATCTTTCTCCTTACTGCAATGTGATGACATTATCTCTTCCTGTCCCAAAGAGACCTCCTATGCTTGTAGGCAGGACTGCAACACTACCATCATTTTAGATGTTGCTATAGCTGCTCACCCATGCAGCATGCAGCTCCCCAACCTTGTCCAAATGGATGCATCACTTCTGCTTGCCTGTATCAAGCCCTGGTACTAGGCCACAAAGCCTATTTTGCTTGTTCTGTTTCTTACAGGGCCTTTAATATTGCAGAGCTTGTTCTTTGCTGATTGAGTATAATGATATCTTAAATCTGTGATATTGGCTCTGGACCCCCGTGAGGAGGTAGGTGCAGGGAGATAACAGTCTTGGCGTTCTATATGCTGTAGTAAAACCTCCTCCAGCCCCTTTCCCTAAGGGTAGAACTTAGCTTGACCCCTGGACCTCTGTGATCCTCCACCCACACTGTCTACAGAATGTGAAGTCCTTGTCCTCCATCGAAGAGGAGGGTGGTGAGGCTGCTCTACAGTCCTACTGTCCATGAAATAGAGCTCCAGGTAGGTTTTCACAATGGGTGCTCATCTTAGGCCTTCATTTTAGGACTTCTGCAATGATAATAGACACTATCATTTTGTAAACAGACTTGATTTTTATTTTTTGGTAGCAGGGATTGAATCCAGGGGTGCTTAACCACCGAATCACATCCCTAGCATTTCTTTTTTTATCTTCTAATTTTGAGACAGAGTCTTGATAAGTTTCTGAGGCTGGCCTTGAACTTTTAATCCTCCTGCCTCAGCCTACCAAGTTGCTGGAATTATAAGTGTGTGCCACCACGCCTGGCTCAAACTTGATTTTTAAAATAAAATTATTCAGTGAAATAATGTTAGAGGTTTGGGGACACTCAGATATTTAAACACTCCATCCATTATTTCATTTTGTTTCTTAGCATATGAGTTAAGTTTTAGAAATGTGAACAGGGTGACTTTTTCCAGGTCTTATTAAAAGGATTAATAGTTGGAAAGTACATTCCTGCCTTTTGGAAACTTATTTTCTGGGAAACTATTAAAGAGTTGGCAGTATTAATTTTTGTCTTCTGGCTATGGTTTTAATTTGTATCTCAAAAGTTCATGTGTAGGAACCTTAATTCCTCAACACAGCAGTGTTGGGAGGTGGAGCTTAGGTATTTAGCTCATGGTGGCAGAATCCTCATGAAAGAGAATTCGTGCCTTTCTCTTGGGAATGGTTTATTTTAGGAGTTAGGCTCACTTTTCTCTCATGTGTGATCTCTCTTCCCTCCTGATTTCTCCCATATTAAGAGGCAGCATGAGGCCCGCACCAGATGTGGCTGCCTCTCTTTGGACTTTCCAGCCTCTAGAACTGTGAGCCCAAATCCCTTTGCTTTATAAATTATGCAGTGTTGGGTCTTCTATTGTCACAATGGAAAACAGACTGAGCAACTTCTCATGCAGAAATATGTAGTAAAGGCAGATGATTCCTGTAGCTCTGGGTATATTTTCCCCTGGCACAGGGGTCCCACCCATCTCTCACTCCCAATCCCATGCAAGGAACTAATATTTTTCTGACTGGCTTCCTTTCTTTACTCCTCTTTGAATTTTAGTTAAAAGTTCATTTTGGGAACTAGGGCCTCTTGTTTAAAATCAACTTTATTGATGAGAGACTCTGCTCTAATGTATAATTAATGAGTCATACTCTATGTCCAAGGTGATTTTTGTGTGCCAACAAAATGTTTTAATTTATACACTAAAGTCCTCATTTTGTTCTTAAACCTTTTGGACTTGCATGGTACATTTATCAAGTATGATTCTGAAAGTTCTTATATGGGCAATGTGTAGTGTGGGCTTAATAGATAACATTAATAAACTCACACTTAATAACCACACTAAAAGCTACTTCCATCTGGATTTACTGGCAATAAAAAGAGACATTACAGAACTTTGGGAATTTGATCAAGGCGCCGAATACTAATCTTAGATTACAAAACTGAGGAATCTAACTGCTTAAACATAGGAAAACAAAGCAATCAAGGCCAGGCTTTTGGTAAAAGCTTGCAATGTGGATTAATAATTAATGTACTAAATGTACTTTATAATAAACTACATCATAATGGATTACTTTTGATAGCTAAATTGGCAATGATACCCTAACATGGTTTCATTGACTCAATTCTTCAATTTTACTTGCTAGATTTATTGGGTTAAACTACAATGGACCTATTATAGACCCATTTTAACTTGTTAAAAATCATAATTAATTTAAGAATATTGATAAAGACAGCAAAAATTATATAAAAGTTGGCAATGATTCAAAAAGAAGTAATAAAGTAGGGTCTTTAAAAGAGAAAATGTCATAATCTACTTTTGAGGTAAATAAGCAGCATTCAGTAGGAAAAAACATCTTAATGGAATCAACTAATGCTTTTCATGCAAGAAAATGTTGAAATTAGAGCTATTCAGTTAATATATATATATAGATAATAAGGATGAAATATTCAGTGAGGTAGTCTAAAATAGTCAAATGTTTTAGAAATTGGTAGTCATAAATTGTGATTTCCATCAACTCTGAAGTCAGGAATTAGAAATAGACATAAGAATTAAACATCTAGAAGATTGAGAAAATATCCTGTTTTGTGATGTTTTAAGTTTAGTACACTCAGCATTTTTTCAGAAATTGAATATAAATCCTACCAGAATCCCTCAGAACACATGGAGAATGGCAAACCAAATAGACTATTTCTCAGAAAAGTGAATTTATCTTCCCAATCTTCGTCTCAACCTTAAGAAAATTGCATTCATTTGTATTTTCGTAGGGTACCCCATTCTCAGAAGAGAGAGACTCAAGGGTCGTTCTGGAGTTAAGGTGCATAGACACTGCAAAATGTGTCATTTATCATTTCTTTTCAGAGTCCCTTAATCACAACTCCCAAGTTATAATAATCCCACTCACATATAGAGCTTTACTTGTCACAAAGGGTTTTTGTTTTTAATATTATGCCATTCACTATTTTAAAATACTTACACAAAACAATTCTATATTTTTATGAGTATATGTACATAGAAAAAATACACTACTGACAACAGTGGTGACTTTCATGAAAAGAGTGAAGACGTAGGTATTTGTCACAGGGGATTCTCTCCTGTAAAGCCCTGCCACACACACTATTTCATTTATCCTTGAAACAACCTTGTAAACACTTGCAGACTGCGGTTTGTACAGGAGGCCCCTCTACATTCATCCCACCAGTAGTTGGGAGTCCACTATATTTCAGCCTCTTCAGATATATCAATGACCTCATAAAGCTGACACTGTAATATAGACAGTAAATAATAGGTATAAAAGAAGTAGATTATATTGGAGGTTAGAAAGTATTAATTATTGTAGAAAAAGACATGGAACAGTAAAGCAGAATAGAGCGAGCAGGGGGGAGGTTGCTGGCTGAAATTCTAAGGATATTCAATGTCGCTTCACTGAAAAGGTTACTTCTGAGCAAAGCTTTGCAAGAGGTGAAGGGTTAACCACGAGGCTGTCTGGGTGGAGAGCCTTCTAAGACAAGGAAACAGCCAGTGCAAAGATCACACAGCAGAAAGTGGCTGGCAGGAAAAGCAATTTGTGGAGTTGGAGCAGAGTGAAGTCAGGTAATGTAGGCCATGGTGAGGTCTTTGGCTCCTCCTCAAAGGGAATGGGGAGCCACTGCAGGACTTTGAGCAGAAGAATGATACATCTTACTTAGGTTTTAAAGGTATCACTGAGCTGTTGTGCTGGATATATTATAAAGGCCAGGGGTGGGTGGGGCAGGCAGCCCAATCAGGAACTCAGAGGGTTGATGGTGTCTCAAACCAAAGAAGGGGGCAGGGGAAATAGTGAGAAATTAAAGGAAAAAAAAATTGAGCACATTTTGAATGCAGAACCAACAGGATCTTCTGAGAAGATGGATTAAATAAAAGAGAAGCATATGTAAAAGGACTCTGAAGATTTTTTTTTTTTTTTTTTGCTGAGCACCTGGGTAATGGAGTTGCCGTAAACAAATGTGAAGACTGCAGGGAGAGCAGGTCTGGGGACAGAGGTGGGATAGAGTTTCCAAAGTGGAGGTATTATGTTTGATTTAGTACAGATTTATTTAGGTCAACTGTTGAGCAGGAAGTTCAGC